GGAATTTTTTGATTATAACTCTGAGAATCCTGAGTTTGATCTTCTCTTTAATGATGCGATGGCGAGCAATTCGAGGGTGGTGTTAGATGCATTGCTGTTGGAGTACAAGTCTGAGTTTGCAGGATTTACTTCTTTGGTGGACGTGGCCGGTGGCACCGGAACGGCGATAAGCAAGATTGTGGAGGCGAATCCTCATATCTCCGGCATCAATTTTGACCTGCCACTTGTGGTCGCCACTGCACCAAAATACCCCGGGGTGGTTAATGTCGGGGGTGATATGTTTTCTTCCATCCCAAGTGCCGATGGTGTTTTCATGAAGGTTTTCAACTGTTTCTCTCTCTCGCTCCATATTGGCTTTTTTTTATTTATTTATTTATTTATTTATTTATTTATTTATTTTAAGATAGAGGTCAAAAACCTTACCTTGAGGCTCGGCAATACAATTGCAATGGCTCTAAGCCCTTATCTTATTTTTATTATTATAAGACCAGCCTAAGATAAAATTTGAGGGTTAGTTGATTTCGCTGGGGAGCATCAATAAAAAAATAATATAAACAGTATTTGCAAAAAATAAATGACCAAAAATGCCTTAGAACATTTCAGGGGGCATTTTGGATGTTTTATATTTATTTATTTTTAATGTATTTTTCAAGGTGTGTGTGGGTGAGAACTATGATGTATCAAAAACCTGAATTTTATTTTAACCTGCTTTATAAAAATAAAGTTGAAATAGTTAGAAAGGCTCTCAAAACTGAAGTACTCTAAGTTTGAGAGCTTCTAGGTTTGTCAAGAGGAAATTTTCTATGTGCACATATATAACATATGTGACTCCGGGTCTCCGTCATCAAATCTGATTAGATAGTTGAAATGGCTTGAGTTACAATGTCAGAGCCTAGCTAGCTCTTAACCGTCAAATCTTGATCGGACGGCTCATGGTTTTTTATTTTTTATTTTTTATTTTTCTTTTAAAAATAATTATAAAACAAAATTTGAAAAATGCATAGATCTAACAAGGGCTCACATGATAAAATAATAATAATAATAATAATAAGAAATAAAAAGTAAACGTAAAATAAAATCGGTGATGAAAAATTGCAAGAATACCCCTAAAAATTGTAAGGCCATTTTGTCCACTTATTTTGACATGAAATACTTTTTTTATTTTCTCAGGTTCACGCTAATTTTATGATGGAATGCCAAAATTTTATCCAAAAATGTTTTGTAAAAAAAATGAAAAATAAAACAGTGTTTGCGTGACATTATGGTGTGAACCATTGTAACCATTTGATTCAGATATAACAGGCAAAAAGTGGGGCCACATCTAACTTATATATTGTTGGGGTAACATAGAAACATTTCTCTTATCTCAAAACATAGTCCACTAGGATTATAGACAAGTTATCCAACAAAAATACAAATAGAATTCTTCCAACTTCGAGGCTACAAAATTTCCCACCTCTCCAACTTCTGGTTGTTAAATTTTTGTTTGGGTGAGGCACACTTATATAATTTCATTTTCAGTGATTACCAAATTTGGCATACTGGTTAATGGCATGTAGCCTTGCACATTTGTTTTGCTTTAGCCAGCTAAGAACTATATAAGAAATATATTTATGAATATCTAATTTAAAGATATATTTCACTTCTTAATGGCTAAATATATTATATTGCCAGTAATATTATACACCATCAAGCAATTAGTTTTTTAAACAATGTCAAAAGAACACATCTTATAAGATAATATCAAATATACACTATCTAAATAAAATGGATGGTGTAGATTTAAGTAACCTTACTTATCGGAACCTGCAACCTTATATAAATTTTTTCTTATAAACTAAGCCTATTCGAAAGCATATAAAAGCCTTTTAATTTTCCTTTCTTATGAATAAGTTGACGTTTAAACACCGTTGTGCCAAACTCTCTTCTATCTATCCAATTGAAAGATATATTTGGTCAAGTAATCAAATAAGTTTTCTATGGAGAGATAGAAATGACGTTTGACTTGTTTTGGACATTGTATCATCAGATCTAGATCTGATCGAGAGAGAGATTTAAGTGGGAGAGATGTTTTCTTAGTATGCAAACTATACTCCTGCAGGATTATATTATGTATATTATTTCCAAAAAAAAAAATTTGAATTTCAAGTTTTTTTACACTTAGACCTCGCACCGCAAATATTGGAGGGTCTTTAGATAATCTTGAGATGTTATTTTTTTAGGTTCAATTAGATTTTTTTTCTTTTTATTAAGATTAATCTATAGGTTGAAAAGGTTACGTCCCTAAAATTTGGGATCCTAAAATTGCTCCTATCTTGAATATTACTCTAGGGACTTAATGAATTGTATAATCCCACACCAATATAAAATTTTGAAAAAATATCTCCTTATCCCCTATTTTTAACTTTCAAATCTCATGAGACCCAAGAATTGAAAACATTAATTATAAACAAAAGCTCTCCATCGTTTCTATCTTACAAACCCCCCTAAACATTTTTTTACCATAAATTTTTTACCCAAACAAATACTAAAATGACACCTTATTAAAAACTTCATCTCTCTCCCTCTAAAAACTCCATCTCTCTCTCTCTCTTCTCTTCTCGGTGAGTTTACAAGCTAAGGGGTTTAGCTTGAGCTCGAACACGAGCATACCTTCTTATGTGTGAGAGAGAGATGGAGTTTGGGTTTTAGAGTAGAGATGGAGTTTTAGAGTAGAGAGAG